GAACTACTATGTATCTATTGTAATTCAAATTTGTATACAAATTCTCTGAGATATGAGAGTAGTATCAGAAATTAGAAAACTGTTCAGATGTCATCTGCTGACTTGTCTTTCAAAGTCTGTAGTTTGCTCGAGCTTTAAACTGAGTTTCAACTCTAGCCAACAATAAAATTGTTCATAAAATAAACAGATTGAAATCCTAGTGGTGGCTTTTACATAAATTGAACCTATTGGTATATTTAGAACATTTTTTTACATTTAAATACAAAGAACTTGTGAAAATAAATAGTATTCCATTCTTACCTTTTGTTCCTTAGATATGCATTATCCATATTATACCAAAAAAAACCTAATTAGTCCTCAATTGCTTTGTATTCATTAGAATTAGGTTGGTAATTATGCATGATTAGAGCATTAAATTGTTTCTAATCTCTGACATTTTCCCCATAAACAGTCATGTTTTCTCCATATAATTCATTTGGGTCTTTTTGGCATAACAGTCTGTTTGGAAACTGTTGTGTAATATATATATTTTATTAGGATTTTTTAAACATCTGGTTCAAATACTTTGAAGCTCACTTATATTTTTAGAATATGCCCAGTTTATTATGTGTCATATACATTTACATACGCACACAGCTCTTTTACACCTTTCATGCAAAGTGTGCTATAAACAGTTTACAATAAAAATCCAGAACTGGTAATTTTAAAACAGTAAATAAAAGTAGAAATTGAGTTTAGCCTCTTCAAAATTCTCCTGAGTCTAAATATTGTCTCCATCAGTTACTAGTGACAACCGGTGGGCCACAGTAAAGAAAGACCCTATATAAAAACTAATTCGGATGGTGATTAGAGATGGTAAGAAGATCTGCAGCTTATCTCAAGGAATTTTTGGAGATGGGGAAGAGGCGGCAGACACAAAACCTATTTAGAAAGGAAGGAATAAGATCATGCAGTGATTTTATAATCAATGTTTTCCTTAATAGGAACCCATGAAGCAATTAGCAATGTGGATGGAAGATGCTCAGATAAGTGAACTATCCTTAGCTTGATTGGGGAGAAAAGTGACCAGAGTTGTGGTATAAATAATCCTTTAGAAGATGCAGGGACACCATCTTCTTGTCAGATTGCCTAAAGATTCTCTGCATAGCATTATTTCCCACTTATCTTCAATAATGATGATGATAATAACAATTAATAGTAATTCAGTATTTAATGTAATAAACAGAAGATGATACAATTGTGGAAGACAAAGATTAAGCCATTCATTGTGGTATTATTGTAAAGCATGATCTGACTGCCTTCTAAATAAATGCATGGGCAGATTTTAATAGGCTGGGGAGCTAATTTTCAGCATGACTGTTTTCTTCAGCATTGATTGCAAGGATTCTGGGACAGCCACATCTGCACTTCTGACAAGGCATGACAAGGCTGAGATTGCCTCAGTGGAAACAGCTGGAAAAAGAAAATATATCCAGTTATCACTGTTAACTGATGATAATTCACCGTCTATTGCCCCAAAATACGCATTTAAGGAAGAGAATGAATTAAAGTAAAAGAGCTTTTAGCAATCCAATAATTAATTGGAACAAGATCAGATGAAAATTGTTTTTTGAAAGGTAAGAGGCTGGTATCTTCATAACAAAAGCTGGATATTGCAATCCTGAGCAACCAAGCATTCAGGATGAGTTGAATCATTTCAGTAGCATTAATAGTTGCCCAAAGGTCTACCAAAGCAAATGACACATCATACAAAATGCTAATAACTATGTTTCTCCCCACAGATTGCCTCTTCGGTTGCAAATTAAGAACACTAAAAATTCATCAATGTTAATTATATAGTTTTTTCTACTTCCATTGCTAGTCGGTGATGAAATTAATGGAATGTGTAGGGCTAAAAAAAGAACATAATTTATTTAATATACAGGCAGTCCCCGGGTTACGTACAAGATAGGGACTGTAGGTTTGTTCTTAAGTTGAATCTGTATGTAAGTCGGAACTGGCGTCCAGATTCAGCCGCTGCATCAATGTTAATTATATAGTTTTTTCTACTTCCATTGCTAGTCGGTGATGAAATTAATGGAATGTGTAGGGCTAAAAAAAGAACATAATTTATTTAATATACAGGCAGTCCCCGGGTTACGTACAAGATAGGGACTGTAGGTTTGTTCTTAAGTTGAATCTGTATGTAAGTCGGAACTGGCGTCCAGATTCAGCCGCTGCTGAAACTGACC